CCAAAAAAATTTTAAGTTTGTTTTTAAGAACTATTTTCAATTTCAAAAATTATCTAGTAAAAATAAAAAATATTTTTCATTCATAAATCAAACACTAAAAATCTTTTTTGGAAAATATTTTCTACTCACCAACCAAACTTGAGAAAATAAATCAAAAATCAACTTGGTTTCCAAGAAAACATTTTCCTTCATACCAAACACACCCTGTAAGTAGGAGATATTCCAAGTCTTCACACTACCTCCAACATTCATAGTGCACAAACAGACACTTTAACTATCCAACTTTTAAATAAATAAACACGTGATTGTTGTAGCCAAAGAGCGTGAAATACAAACGCTCCAACGTGTATTAGTGAGCCACTCAATGACTGCCAACTAATTAAATATTTTACCGGGCTGCTTTAATTTTCATCTGTTTTATTTAAAGAACTAACTCAGTAGTTCCCATAAAAAATATATAAAAAAATAATATAAAAGGGATTTATTAAGGGTATTACTCCTAACGCGCGCAAAATAAGTGTACATCAGGCGTTTTGCCAGGTAGGACTCGTGTGTTTATTTATTTAAAAGTTGGATAGTTAAAGTGTCTGTTCGTGCACTATGAAAGTTTGAGGTCAAAGTTAAAATTTGAAGCCAAGATTAGGGTCCAATATATGTATTATGCCATCAAAGAAGCATAGCATTCTTCCAGTAGTCCCATCTTTTTCAACAGATGTCCCAGTTATGAACAGTTGTTCATCAGGACTAAATGCAATGTTAGTTTGAGCATATAATTATTTGGGAGATCATCGAACACTTTCAAGGGTTCTTTCATCTGGCGCAAATCCCAAACCTATGAAGCCAAGTCAAGATAATATATACATCAGAGAAGATGAATGCCGGTGTACATATTTCGTGCCCAGTCAAACTACATCACAAAAATTGAGATCGAGGAGTACTTTATGTTCCTTCTATAAAATTGGCAGATTTACTGACATGATATTTTGTTGAACAGGACGCCCAGCCTCGTAATATTATCATCTTATGGAAGGCTATTGTTGAAGCATTTAACATGTTTTAATACTTAAAGTTCAAAAGGTAATTTTTAGCATGTCAGCGCGCACTAACCCAAAAAAAGGTCTCCCCTATCCTTTAAAGCTGTCAGGCTTTCCGGATTCTTTTTATATAGAAAATATTGTTGGGATTTCAAAAACTTTCAGCTGGTCACCTTATTTCTTCGCTGAAGGTGCAATCCCCCGTTCCATCAATGCTACTTTCCTTGCTTTGATTCCTAATATTTTGATCTAGGACTACCCTCTATTTAATCTAAAAAAAATAAAAATTATTCAGTTATAAGTACCCAAAATGTTTAAATTATAATAAAGGAACATACTCAAGAATGAAAGCAGTTGGTATATTCCATAAACCTGAAAGAGCGCACACAAAATGTTTCTCTTCCACGGCGAGCACCTAAAGCAATAAGTCTATTAGGCTAAGAGATTACATAAAAAAAATCAAGTGTCATATGCTACAGAGGTATGAGGAAAGTAGAGACTGCTGCTTGACAATTAAAACAATCTTATTATGCAACTGTCACTGCTTGATTTGAAAAGGGATTTGAGAAATTGTAGCTAAAGATTTGAAAAGGGAACTTCAACATTTTCAAATTTCAAATGAGATCTATATGCCAAATAATGTAGATCTTATTTGTATTTATATTTAATTTACTCATGAACAAAGAGTTTTATATCTTGTTTAAGTCATTCAAGTTCTACTTTATCAGTCTGTCCAACAGAGAAGAACTTGGAAGTAGATTTATCAATTTAGATATTTTAGAACCTAAACAATGAAAGTTACAGTTAGAACTTAGATCAAATCTCCAAACAAAGGAAATCTTTAACATAAAAACTTTTAGGAGTATCACATTTATAGAGAGCTCAAATCCAATGTAGTGACAATATCAATAAGTAGCAGTTGAACATTCACACCTAGTAAATTTGTTAGTTGTGTATTAAAAGATCGATTCTCAAAAAAAAAGAAAAAAAAGCTCGATGCATAAGACATTCGGTGTTTATACTAGATTCCTCATGAGTATGTGTGTGCCCCTTGCCCAAGGCTGGAGTCTGAGATCAACGTACGGATTCGTCGAATTCTTGGACTTCTGAATTCTTCACAACAACCTCAGACAAACAAGACTCTTTTCTCTAATCTATCATGAGACAGTGAATCGAAGAGGAGAGCTGCACTTCATAAAATTGTTTGCAAGTCTTACCTGAAAGGAACAATAAATAGTCAATTCTCGAAAAGCATTTGAGATCATCATCTTTCCTCACAAATTGTTGCTCTTCCCTCGTGAATGGTTGTGAGATTTGATAAAAACTGCATCAGCCTTGCCAACCATCCGAGCAACAGGATCCATCAACTCTACGAGAAACTTAACGGCACGAGCCTACACAATGCGGGGCTTGTTTTTATGAAGTAATAACAACTTACATACATTAGGCTAGATGGCCCAAGGAAGGGAAATTATATATTGTTTGGTCAATCGCTGATTTGAAGTGTTAATTCAACTGATGCATTTTTATATTTAGCATCTAAGGCTAGAAAGACCAATCCAACTATATAGTGCCTCGAGGCCACCCCATCCCATCCCAGCCCCGAGGCACCGTCGTGCCTCGAGGCCCCCCCACCCCGAGGCACCGTCGTGCCAATATAGTGCCTCAAGGCCCCCCATCCCATCCCAGCCCCGAGGCACCGTCGTTCCTCGAGTCCCCCCACCCCAGACCCGAGGCACGACGGTGCCTCGGGGCTGGGATGGGATGGGGGGCCTTGAGGCACTATACTGGCCCGACGGTGCCTCGGGGAGGGGGGAAAAGAACTACGGTGCCTCGGGGCGGGAGTGGGGGGCCTCAAGGCACGATGGTGCCTCCGGGGGGTGGGGGGCCTCGAGGAACGATGGTACCTCGGGGATTGGGTAGGGGGCACTACGGTGCCTCGGGGCGGAGGGTGGGGGGAAGGGGGCCTCGAGGCACGACGGTGCCTCAGAAGGGGGTAGGGGTTGGAGCCTCGAGGCACGACGGTGCCTCGGGGCTGGGATGGGATGGGGGGCCTTGAGGCACTATACTGGCCCGACGGTGCCTCGGGGAGGGGGGAAAAGAACTACGGTGCCTCGGGGCGGGAGTGGGGGGCCTCAAGGCACGATGGTGCCTCGAGGCCCCCCACTCAAACCCCGAGGCACCGTAGTTCTTTTCCCCCCTCCCCGAGGCACCGTCGGGCCAGTATAGTGCCTCAAGGCCCCCCATCCCATCCCAGCCCCGAGGCACCGTCGTTCCTCGAGTCCCCCCACCCCAGACCCGAGGCACGACGGTGCCTCGGGGTTTGAGTGGGGGGCCTCGAGGCACGACGGTGCCTCGGGGTGGGGGGGGCCTCGAGGCACGACGGTGCCTCGGGGCTGGGATGGGATGGGGGGCCTTGAGGCACTATACTGGCCCGACGGTGCCTCGGGGAGGGGGGAAAAGAACTACGGTGCCTCGGGGCGGGAGTGGGGGGCCTCAAGGCACGATGGTGCCTCCGGGGGGTGGGGGGCCTCGAGGCACGACGGTGCCTCGGGGAGGGGGGAAAAGAACTACGGTGCCTCGGGGTTTGAGTGGGGGGCCTCGAGGCACCATCGTGCCTTGAGGCCCCCCACTCCCGCCCCGAGGCACCGTAGTTCTTTTCCCCCCTCCCCGAGGCACCGTCGTTCCTCGAGTCCCCCCACCCCAGACCCGAGGCACGACGGTGCCTCAGAAGGGGGTAGGGGTTGGAGCCTCGAGGCACGACGGTGCCTCAGAAGGGGGTAGGGGTTGGAGCCTCGAGGCACGACGGTGCCTCGGGGTGGGGGGGGCCTCGAGGCACGACGGTGCCTCAGAAGGGGGTAGGGGTTGGAGCCTCGAGGCACGACGGTGCCTCGGGGCTGGGATGGGATGGGGGGCCTTGAGGCACTATACTGGCCCGACGGTGCCTCGGGGAGGGGGGAAAAGAACTACGGTGCCTCGGGGTTTGAGTGGGGGGCCTCGAGGCACGACGGTGCCTCGGGGTTTGAGTGGGGGGCCTCGAGGCACCATCGTGCCTTGAGGCCCCCCACTCCCGCCCCGAGGCACCGTAGTTCTTTTCCCCCCTCCCCGAGGCACCGTCGTTCCTCGAGTCCCCCCACCCCAGACCCGAGGCACGACGGTGCCTCGGGGAGGGGGGAAAAGAACTACGGTGCCTCGGGGCGGGAGTGGGGGGCCTCAAGGCACGATGGTGCCTCCGGGGGGTGGGGGGCCTCGAGGCACCATCGTGCCTTGAGGCCCCCCACTCCCGCCCCGAGGCACCGTAGTTCTTTTCCCCCCTCCCCGAGGCACCGTCGTTCCTCGGGGGGATTACATGCAACGAAAACAAGGGAAAAGAGTTAATATATAATCTGAAAGAAATAAGGAAAATGGTATGCTAAAATATATGAAGTGAGAGAAATGAGACTATGCTAACAAGTAATCCAAAACTAAAGGATATGCTAGAAGCTTAATTATTTTTTTACTAAAATAGGGAAAGACAATTCTCATAATACGCTAACTTTAAATTTAAAGCAAAAAACAAACTGGAAAACCTTTTAAGGCATCTATCAAGGTTGGAGTCGATATCATTAAATCCAAAATATAATATAATGAGAATAAGAAAAACTGAGTTTAAGAAGTAAAGAGTGAGGCAAAGCTAGTTTAATAGTAAATTAAACCACCACATTCAAACAATTTTCCTTCCTTACTAATGACTGACCACAAACGATGAAGAAATGACTAAACAATGCTTTATTCCACTAAAAAAAAACAGTAGCAAACCTATGTAACTAATCCTTTAAAACATGAACAAATTGGTGAACAAAATTAACAAGGTACGCAAAGACTTTACAGAAATTTTAGACATGAATGAGGGAGAGAGATTTCGACACTTTCATAACTTCAAATAAAGGAAAGGGGGAAGGAATAGACAGTAGCTGAATCATAGAAATCAAAATCCAATTCTAAGGCAGCAACATCGGAATGATAACTATATACGAGATAAATCCAGAAGTTCGATGCCGTTTTCACATTAATACTGTCACTAAAGAGACCAAATTATGCTGGAGTCAAAATACTACAAGATAAAACAAAACAGGCATGAAGAAATCTTAGCTGAAACAGAAACTAGAAAGGAAAGAGTTGTCAAAACAATGGTGCTTGCTGAACAAAGATACAATATTTCAACTTTTGAGAAGAACCATGAGACATCAATCAGGTAAAAGAATGCTATGAAACTGATATTGAATCGAACAAATGAAACTAACATCTAATTAACACGACCATCACGTAACAATAAGATGCTAGAATACAGTGAACCTTAAGGCCCTTAATATAAAACTCACACACTTTAAGAGACATGCTTAACTAAAATACAAACTGAAATTCTCAATGGACACAAGCAGTAAACAAATAGAGCAGAAAACAACTTAAAGACATTACTCGAAAGAACATTATCTCTGAAATGTTAAGATTAGTAGGGAATTTTACCCTTTCGAAGGCAGCAAGCTGAAACTGGACGAGCAGAGCAGCGAGGAAGAGCTTCCACCACTGAAATGGGATTCCAAAAACTCCGACGAATCGAGCAGAGGTGAATGAGGAAAGGACTAAGTAAAATCCATTTCTTTTTTTTAAAAATAAAAACAGAATGACCAAACTGGACAGGAATTCAGCAGCCTTGATTTGTGTCAATATAGTAAGCTGCACAAAAGAACAAACAATAACTTTTAACATACAATCAAACTACACGGAAATGACCAAACAGAAAGTACCCAAATTGCAGGACATAGAAAGATAGAAATGTGGACCAAAAAAATCTTCAAATCAAGAAAAAAGCTCTATCTTTATCCAAATTTCACAGAGAACAAACAAAATCCCAATAATTAAATTCTGAGTTTTTCAAAAACTGAGGTTAGAAAGAGCAATAGCAATAGAACCACCAACTCTTCCAGTTACTTTTAATGCCCCAATTAATCTAATAAAAACAATCAAAGAACCAAATAATGATAATAATAAAAACACAAGGAGCACAGATGAAGATGAAATTAGAAATACAGAATGAGAGCAGTGTGGTCGATGCCAAGTGAAATAGAGCTTATCCTTCACATTTTTGCCTCTTAGCTAGAAATCTGACATATAAATGAGAAAAGGGGATAGTAGGCCAATCAAATGAAGAATGACAGGTTGCATATACAAAAAAAGAAGAACGCACTCATAAGAACTATTAAGAAGTAACCGAATGATTCAAACTACATATGCATCATCATACATATGAGTCCCACAAGTGGTATAGAGGAGCTCGACACCCTGTTAGATATTTGAGTAAATGCCCATTTAGAAGCTCTAATTAACAAGGAAAGAAATAAAGATAGATATACCATCTAATGCATCTAACATCAGATGCTGCTGAATTCCTATCCATTTTGGTTTTCTCCTGGTACAACATCGTTGATTCAATGATCCAAATACGTACAAGGCATAAATATAAAAACCACCGCCATGTAGTGCTTGGCAGAGTCAGGCTCAAAGCGAGGGACTGCACAAGGCTGGGGTCTCACATTGGGATTTGTCCAGCAAGCCCCTGTCCCACCTGAGCTACATGTTTTTTCCTTCCCTTTCCCAACTTTGTGCATACGTCTTAAATTCTAGATATTTCCTTAATATGTAATGTAATATTGATGAAACGATTCATGAGTCTTGTATTACTAAGCTAGTTACAAAATGATCTTGTAGATATAGCAAAACATAATGTGGACGAAATCTTGACTCAAGAAGGTAATAATATAATGGACAGACTTTGGTGAATGGTTGAGACATAAATATTTTACTGTCAAATCAACATGGAACTACATAAAGACACATTGAACATGGGAATGATATGTATAGATTCTATATTTGGATAACCCATCATGCCATTCAAATATCTTTCTCTAGGTGAAGAGCATAAAAATTTAAAGATTTCAATTGACAATAAACTAAGTTGTTATTGATGTGTTGGTGTTGCACAGATTCAAATTAAATTAGGAATCGTGCAGCAAAGGTACCAAAAGAGAAAAGTGCTATTGTCAAAAGTTTTAATTTGTCTCTCTTGAACACAAATTCATCAATATACAAGAAGAAGGGTTTGAAGCAAAGCAAAATTGTATGTTTCAAGCTAAAAGGAATTCTAAGCAGTAACAACTAACAAGACCATGACTGATATACCAAATTCCCCATTCTTACAAGTTTGATTTCAAGGTAACATATAAATTATTCAATCAATCAACTAAGCCCCAAACCCTATGTGAGAGGAAAATTGGAAACATTACCCGAATACATCAGGATGAGATTCAAGAAGCATAGCAATGTCTCTCCTCATTTTCCACTGTCATCTTCACCATTGTCTTGCTGCATACACATAAAAAAAACTTGATTTCTATCCAAGAAGAAGTAAAATTGAGAAATTCATCATTTAGATGAAGAAATTCAACAATCTTCATCGCCTTCTTAAAGAGAGAAAGAGAGAGTAAAGCAATGAGAAGAGTGTGGGTGAGAATGGAATTTTGAAAAAGAGAAGAGGTTTAACGGTCATTTTGGGTGAAAACAAAAATATGGTTTCGGTCTGAAATTGAGTTTAAAATAAGGTAACAAAATATTTAGATTTACAATAAAATGGGTTAGATTTTAAATTAGGACATGGCCACAAAAATTTTAATTATGGTTGGATTAAATGTTTTCCAGATCAACTCATTTTCCTCAAATTTAAGGAAAATGACTTCCCTTCAAAACTAAGGAAAACATTTTCTAAATCTCTCTTCCAACTTCAAATTATAATTTATTTATTTTTAAAAAAATCAATTTATTTTGTCCCTACGCTTAAACTACCCCTCCCACCCCCTACCAGCCCCCCCCAAA